TCAGCCATTTTGGGTTAAATTTACAATCACTGTGATGCGCATCAACTACCCATGATAGTTAATCTTTCTTTTGAAGTAATAAGCCAACACATCCTCGAAGTCTGGTTCCAGACATGTTAAAATACCTGATTTCAGTGTATTTTAAAATGAAAATGGCCACCAATCAGCCATCTTTGACCGAATCACAAAATCAATGCATAAGCATATGTATCAAATAAACTTTCAAGATTGTGCGAGGTTTGAAGAGAATTGGTCACGGGTGTTCGAGTTGCAGATCCAGATCGTTCACACACAAATGGAGATTAAACTATAAGCTTCCGTTTTGGACTTTGTCCAAACCAATAATCACTTTACACAAATATTTTAAAGAAATTTCATTCAATCAACTGAAGTGTCATAGGTTAATCATTATTAATACTTACATGTTTGACACTGATTACCAGTCCATCCACTTGCACATTGACAACTGTATAAGCCCGATCCCAAGTTTATGCATGTTCCACCATTAAGACATGGGGTATTATCACATGCATTGGTAGTTACAACTGTAAAAGGAATACAGTTTGAATCAATTTCATTACCCAAAAGAGTACAAGTACATTAATGTATACATATATTCAAATAATCACTTTACACAAATATTTTAAAGAAATGTTATTCAATCAACTGAAACATCACAGGTTTATCATATACTTACATGTTTGACACTGATTACCAGTCCATCCACTTGCACATTGACAGCTGTATGAACCCGATCCCAAGTTATAGCATGTTCCACCATTCTGACATGGGAAATTGTCACATGCATTGGTAGTAACTATGAAAAAAATGTTCAACAGTATTAAATATACAATGCAAAAGCATCCACAGAGAGACATAAATATTTAATATGAATTTTAAACTTCATTTCCACAGTGAGCTGATGTAAGCCAGATATTTAGACATACAAAAACATTTAAATTCAAATGTTCACAAATGGATACCTTGAGATTTCCACAATATGCCACACACTTGTCCACACATAATATATGAAATTCTCCTGAATGGAAATTACAAACACGATAGGGGATAACAAGGTATTTCTTAAGCTGTAATATTGACTTACTTGTCTGACAGTTGTATCCAGAAAATCCAGGTTGACATGTGCAGCTGTATGATGCACATTGTGCTAAAACTGTACAAACTCCATTATTTAAACATGGATTGACTTGACATGGATTGACCATAGCTATAACCAGAGAAAGAAACATCAATTAAAGTTTGTGATCTAAACTTAGAGGTCTTCCTTTGATCAAGACTACTAGAGCATTCATATAAAATTGGAATTTATTTTGATGGCAGTAAATGTCAAAACACAACCATTTCAAAAAGGCTTTTTTATGCTGCACAAACATAGTCCCATCTTCTTGGAGAGTAGTTTTACAAGACATATATGTACTATAAATAATACATTGGCGGATCAAAAATGGTATTTTGACTTAATTTGACATATAAAGATATAATTATATATATTGGACAACTATTACATCCAGATTTTGGTCAAAATTTGCTTTTATTGGCCAAATGAATAAATGAAATAAAAATAATGTATATTCAACCAGTTATAAAAAATTCAACTGTACAAAGCAATTGTTTTTTTAGAATCAAACTGTTAAAACTGGTTTCTGTTATCAGAAAAACTTAAAGAACAACTTAAACATGAATGTTAAAGCAACACTGTTGTCATATTAAACTGTGCAAGTACAGTTCAGTTACGCATTTACTGACAAGCTAGTATATTCAAACAATTGTCAAAATTATGTAGCATGCTTGGTCATAGTTAATGGTTGTCTGTGATAAAGTACTATAATTACTACCATGAGCTATGTTTATGTTTTGTAATGTGTATAGTGTGTAGTGCATATGATGTAGTTAAAACAAACTAGAAAAAAAAATTATAATAATAGAATAGTAGAATAAGCAGATGTGTAGTTGTGAGGAGTCTCACTTTAACTTACAAATTACATTGCTCTTGTCTCACCTGTTTGACAGTAAGTTCCAGAATAGCAATTTGGGCACTGACAGAAATAACCAGTACCATAGTCATTGCATGTACCACCATTCTGACAAGGATTGGGAGCACAAAGATTTCCTGCACCTGAAATTGCAAAATGTTATAGTATAGTGAATGTATTATCTATCATGTTTTTTTTTATATATTCATGTATAACAGAAAAAATGGTTTGATATCATACTTACTTGTTTGGCATTGATTACCAGTCCATCCACTTGCACATTGACAACTGTATGAACCCGATCCCAAGTTATAGCATGTTCCACCATTCTGACATGGGAAATTGTCACATGCATTGGTAGTTACAACTGTAAAAAGAAAATAATTTGAATCAATTTTATTACTCAAGAAAGTAATAGTGTACTAATGTATGTATACACATCACTTTAGAAAAATATTTTATTCAATAAAACTGAAACATCACAGGTTTATCATATACTTACATGTTTGACACTGATTACCAGTCCATCCACTTGCACATTGACAGCTGTATGAACCTGATCCCAAGTTATAGCATGTTCCACCATTCTGACATGGGAAATTGTCACATGGATTTGATGTTATTGCTATTGAAAGAATAAGTATTCAATACTATAACTCAAAACATTTTTATTCATACATTTTCAACAGACCAAAGTCAATAAGTATTAGTCCAATTGACAGTTCTACCTATTTTATTGTCAACTTTTCAAAACTAAAGATTGAGAACATTTTTGTAGAAAAATTTATTGAAAGTGAATATGTTTGGGCATTAATGTTTAGTGATGTAGAGATAGCTGACAATAAGCGGTCATTAAATCCACACAATATGCAATACAAATGATGGGTACTACCGTATTTATTGTTTTCCTGCTTTTGTTATTATCATATGTTGAACTAGCTGTAATCAGTCAGCTATGCAAAATACACACAAACAAAGAATGAAAAAATGTAATGATGACTCACATATCTGACAATTATTGCCGGTATATCCAGATTGACATGTGCAGCTATATGAGATGCATCCAGTTAAAACTGTACACAATCCATTATTCAAACATGGATTAACTTGACATGGGCTGGCCAAAGCTGCAGAAACAGAAAAAAAATGTAATGTGTGATTAACAGGCATATCACATAAATTAGCCGCCATTTTAAACGCATGATTTTTACTTGTCACGGCACGTTTCGAGCGAAAACAACAACTTTTATACATCAAAAGCCCAACCAGATGCATGTAATCGCTAGCGTACATATTCATGCCCCATAGAAATATATTTGGAATCACAGCTTGATCTCTAAACACCGTAAATGGCACATTTCCTGGAGCTCCCACCATGATGTGAGTGGCTTGGTTCGGATTAGCATACTAAATGCGGTAGCCATCTTGTCCCTATTTATAGTATCGGTATCTTACAAAAACCCTATAAAAGAAACGATTTTTGTTCCACATACATTAAAGCATTACATCATTTAGTGCCTTATACAATGTCTTTTTCAAAATTTATAACAGATTAGATTCACACAAAGACTCACCTGTTTGACAGTAAGTTCCAGTATAGCAATTTGGGCACTGACAGTAATAACCAGTACCATAGTCAAAGCATGTACCACCATTCTGACAAGGATTGGGAGCACATCGATTTTCTTGGACAACTAAAAATTTAATATTACATGTTGCATAGTTAATTGAATTAAATATAAAGTTCTCATGTTTAATGGGGATAAAAGGATGACAAATTATGGAAATGACTATACCGGTAAATCTTATTGTATTTTTCATTGTATGTACATGTCTATATTTATGCAGGTAATTATAAATTTATACAACTTCATTTACAGAGATTCAATTTTGATAAACAGTTAGAAAAAAATATTTGACAGAATAGAAAAAATGAAATAAATATATACTCACTGTTCTGACAGAAATTTCCAGTGTAACCAGATTGACATGAACAGGTAAAGGATAAACAGTCTGTGTTAACATTGCATACACCACCATTTAAACATGGAGAATTGTCACATGGATTTGAAAGAGCTAATGAGAAAGTCAGAGAAAAATGATTCAGGTAAAAATAAGGAATCTGATCTATTTAAAAGTATGTACATCCTGTTTGATTCAAGCTTTGTTTGGATGACAGGCCTGGTGAGCTATGTGTAATGTTATTGGAGGGGTTAATCCTCTTCTGTGGTAACTAACATCTGATATCCACAGCACATTAGTGCACCCAGTTAATTAGAATAGGCTGCAAGATAACTTTGTTCCTGGCTTCACCCAGGTGGTTTTTATCTTTCAAAAGCCATTTAGCTGATACAGAAATATTTTCTACAAATATGACAGAGCAAGATAAACCAATAAGAAGATTGACTAATACATACCTATTTCACAGTTGAATCCAGAGTAGCATGATGACAAACATGTGCATGTGTAATCGGTACAGGATCCTGGTACTTGTGTGCACTGGCCACCATTTTGACAGGGTGAATTAGCACAGGGATTTGCAATAGCTATCAAGAAGGCAATGTAACAGTATAATAAAAATAAATTATGACAAAAGTGTAATATATATAGTCTCATTATATAAGGGTGGCAATTTTTTCACAATACATATACCACATACCAAATCATACATGCATACAGTTCAATATCCAATGGTTATATAGATAAATTAGCTTGTGCATGAAAATATTTCATCTTATAACACTTACGTATTTGACAATTGCTACCCTGATAGCAAGATGTACAGCTGCAAGCATACTCAGTACAGGAACTTCCAATTCGATTACAAGTACCACCATTCATACATGGGTTAGGAGAACATGCGGATACACTCACTGTTTGGCACAAAACAGAAGAACAAAATAATTTAATAAACCTAACATAAAGAGTCATAAACCAGGAATAAAAAAGATAATTATATGAACACTTACATGTTTGACAGTATTGGCCAATATAACATCCATCACACTCACAAGTGAAATCTGTGCATGATCCAACAGTTGGAGTACAGATGCCACCATTCTGACATGGTTGTGTATTGCATTGTGATTGTAATACTATAAAAAATAAGTTGAAAATGCACATGTAATATTTGATATTATAATGTACAAGACTCAGTGTGAAAATAAATGAAGCAGTATGAAGTTCATCCAACACTTTTGATGATGTGGCCAATAATTTAAATGTTACCTTGGCAAATTTCAAAACATTCAATTCCTGATTCCCGGGCAAGGATAGGACAAAAATATAAAAGTCAAAAGAGCACAGGTTGACATGCAGCCCAGAAGAAGTCAGTGGCGTACTTTAAACAGTTTTTTAATGATAGCTGAGTGAGTGTGGATGCTAAGAAGAACTAGTTAAGACAGCTGAGAAACATGGATTTTCAGTTGAAAAAGATGATTTTTTAGAGAAAATGGACTGAAATAGAGATGATACGTGTGTGTTTCACAGAGTAAAATATGACCGCAACTAATTTTTTTAACTCCCAAAATACCTGCAAAAAATTTGAAAATATTACGCTATAACCAAAGATAATTTGCATGCTCGTTATTCTTGCTTAGACAGAATAGTGTGCAACTTTTCATAAGCTAGTACGAGTTAGTTTTAAAATGATGGCAGTTGGTATGTTGACCCCAGGTGACGCGATATGTGCAAGCCCACAAACGATGAGTGCGCAAATGCTATCAATTTGAGAACCACCCCCTTGTGATATATACATGTATATGTGAATTTTGGATCAACATGGAAATATTTTCACGAAATATGAAACATATGTACCATATACTGTCATACAGTCCAGTATCTATTCTAGTGATTATCCTTGGATCATACTTACAGTAATTACAGTTGTAACCAGAGTAGCATGACGGACAAGCACATGTATAACTCTGGCAATGTGATTGATCTGGCATACAGGTACCACCATTCATACACGGATTACTGATATCACACATGTGTTGGGTACCTTTAGTAGAAACATTAAAGAGTTGAAAAAAATACATTAATACAGTATGTTTAATACAATATTACACGAGGTAACACTAACTAACTAACTAACTAACTGTACAGATGTTCCACATTGCCTTATAGTGGCCCCCACCTAAATGAATGACTGTTAGCGATACAATGATGATGTGTTTTTTGCCATGTAATAAAATCTCATAATATCTGAAACACAGACCTTTATGACCTGTTTTTATAAATCATTTTTCACTTAAAATCTATTTCAAGCTATTGAATAAACAAAATACAATACTTACTGCTTTCACAATACTGGCCTGAGTAACAACCACTACACTGACATTGAAATAATGAACAAGAACCAGGGATTGCAACGCACACTCCACCATTTTGACACAGGTTTGGATTACACTGATTAGCAACAACTGTCATGAGCATACAAAAAATTTAAACAGCAAGGTAAATATTTGGTGATCATATACAATGACTACATGCTAATAGTTAACATTACATTATTATGTGGATACTGCAGTACACAGGACCCAATTTAAAATTTAGGTTGAAAAATATTTTAATCAAATTGAGCACCAAGTGAACATCTTGTCAGGAAAATCTAATTCTACCATAGGAGTACCAGTAATACAGTAATATATTTAGCCAAAACAGAATCTGTTTAGCCAGAGATCAAAAATTTGGCTAATAGGTAACAGAGTACTGGATGCATCAGCCAAATATCATACTCATTATATGAACAGGCCTTTCAGGGTATTCACATGATACTGTATATATAAGATGATCTGAGTGGAGCAAAATGATAAGATGTAAATGGGAGACAGCTGCCTTGAACAATAACAGTCTTTTCGTAAATAACATTCTTTTCATGTGGTAGACTTTATTCAAGTGTAACAAACGTAAGTAAAATGTATGGACGAGTCAATATACTCGTACCTTCGAAAGTTACGACTTTTACTCTTGGAATTGGTGATAAATACATGCATAAAATACAACATTGTTTCACGCAACAACAATTCGTATACAGCATTGGACTTATGGATTTTTATATTAATAAAATACGTGGGCCGATAATATTACTATATGCTTAGTATTTCCATGCCAGCGATGCTCGTAACCTGCTCGATTTAAAAACAGCTATTTGAAACAAAGACTCAT